ACTCTTTTGCTTTTATTCTTTTTTTTTCTTCAGAGGTCCCAATTATTAAATAATTATTTGCCAAATAGTTTAGTTAATGTGTATCTAAAGCCATTGTTTTCTAGTTTTTAATATAGCAGGAAAAGGTAAATAACCCTGTCATGTTTTTTTTCTGTGTCCTTCTTGGGTAGATTCACCCTTTCTATGTGACTTGGTGATGATTGTCACTGGGACTGAGCGTGAGGGAAAATCCAAAATTTTGAGTTGTCATTAGAACAGTAATGAGAAAAATCTTCCAATTGGGAGATTTGTTATGGTGACTACTGTCTATGAGAGGATTCTTTTCACTTTCTCTTGTGTCTACAGGTAAGGAAGCGAAGGGAAATCTCCCCTATGGGAAACAGATGACCAAAAACCTGACGGGTTTAACCCTTTCCCTTTAGCTTGTTTTTAAATATATTTTGCTGGTAAATATGCAAAAACGAAAGAAGACACATTTAATGGTTTATAACTTTTATCTCTCTGAATTTTATAATTGTAATTATTTTTGCAATAATTGATTTTATCGAACTTAAACTGACATGCATTGTAGTTACATCACATACTTAGAACCATCTTTTTATTTCAATATGTCCTCTCTTCAAGTTTCAACATACACAGATGCTACAGATGAAGTGACAGAACATTTATTTATAATTTTTCGATTCCGCTTAATAGATTTTACCATATAGTCATAATCTATAACCTTTAAAATACTTCCATTTGTAAAAAAATTAATTCTGATATAAATATTAAAACTAAAAATAAACACTTGATGGCAAAATAATTATCATTGCAATATAATATCTGAATAAACTTTTTTTTACACTTATTTGGCACAAATAAATTTTTTTAACAGAACAAAACATGAATGATTTTTTTGCAGTGCTTACACAGTACATATTTTCATTTCAGAAGACTGAATAGTTTAACATTAGTACACTACAGTAGCTTCATAACATGCTTTTATGGAGAACCATTCCACAGCACATTAAACGCTTGATACTGTTTAATACATCAACATAAAAAAAGGCAAAAGTGTACTTTTTTCATTCCATTCACTTTGCATTTTCATATAATAACAATCAGGCAAACAACTGGTATTCACATTTTGTTCAAAAAAGAATTACACCTAAAAAAGTGAAAATCATCTCCTTAATAACGATGAAGCAGTTAGAAGTTTTGAGAAGGTGAGACAACTAATGATAAATTATATAAATTGGATCTGAACCAAAATTCAGTTTTTCTTTGTTTTAGATATAGCATGGAAGAGTTCAAATCACTGTTAGGTTTTAATTGCTATTCAAACTCCCATCTATAAGATATTCTGCAAAATTGGGGACAGCTAGCCAATGACAAAATACAGCAATAGCAAACCTGGCAGGGATCTGATTACTCAAAATTTTAAATAAAAAGGATTTTAGATGAAGTTCCACGTTAAAATTACAGTAATTCAGTAAGTATATCTAAAGGCATTTTTTTTTCATTCATCATGGATAGCATGGGGGGGTCAAAACCACATTGTTTTGCCATATGCATCTCATGAGGGAGCTACAGTATACCTTCCTGTAGACTCAGAAGGAAATGAGAGGATGGATTTCCTATGTCATGGAACTCTTAACTGTTATAGACAGATGTCACGGGAACAAATGCCCCAGTTGGAAGATTTCTAAATTATTTCTGTTATGGTGGCAACTCTAAATTTTGGATTTATCCTTTCTTTTCAAGATTTGTTTTGAAAGTGGTTCTAACCCCTTCCCACTACATCCAAATCTAGAAAACATTTTTGCCTTTAGTTATACTTTGATCATATGATGATGTATGTAAAGGGTTTGGGTCAGTCTTTTTTGCACGGTGGTCTGGAGGCAAAATCAAGTGTACAATATTGTTAGTGTTATCAGGGGGAAACTATTGTACTATTATTATTATAGACAGAAATTATTTTGTTTTCAGATAGATTTTGAGCTTTTTATTGATTTGGAATGCAATTTATATTTTCAGTTGAATATATAACACCTATTCATAACTCTACGACAAGAATATGGACATTAGAACATTATGCATATTAGGACATCAGTATATATCAGAATGAAACTTTAGGTTTAGCTATACAGGTGAAACTCGAATAATTAGAATATCGTGCAAAAGTAATTGCAGTAAGTACTGCAAAAGGGGCCCAAACCAAGTACTGAGTACACACGCTTATACTTTTCAGAGGTCCGATATTGTTCTATGTACAATCCTTGTTTTATTGATTGCATGTAATAATCTACTTTTTTGAGGTTGTGGATTTGGGGTTCTTGGGGTTTTCATGAGCTGTAAGCCATAATCATCACAATTATGACAAATCACGGCTTGAATTATCTTGCTTTGCATGTAATGAGTCTATCTCATATATTAGTTTCACCTTTTAAGTTGCATTAGTGAAATAAATGAACTTTGCACGATATTCTAATTATTCGAGTTTCACCTGTAATTCATCAGAGACAGTTACGCGTGGCATTGAAATGAGATTTCAGAAGTTGCAGAGTTGGGCTCATGCTGGTTCCTTTTAGACATGTGCATTTGGATTCGGACAAACTTGCAAATCAACAAAATGCCGTTGATTCGGCGGTTCATCCGAATCCGAAATAACAAATTATTATATGCCCAAATATATGAAAACTATATTTGGGCATTTATTAATTCATTTGCAGAATGCCCAGCAGCCATATTGACCACTAGCGTGTTCTGCGCACGCGCGCTGCCATCTTGGAGGTGGAGTGCATGACGTCACATGACGCCATACACATGTATGGATGCCGCCATCTTGGTGTATAAAAGATATAAACCAAGTTGGTGGTGCCCTTCATCCGTATGCTTATGTCATGATCTCCACCTGCACAATTTGGGCCCTTCGCAGTCTACTGTTTAAATGTGAAGTTTCGGTGCCTCTGAAACCGAAACAACATAATTATTAATTTCCTCAAACAAAACAAAAATAAAATGTTTTTATTTTTCATTCGTTTCGTCTGAAACTAGTTTTTATCCTGTGCACATGTCTAGTTCCTTTAGGCCTTGTTCACATGACCTTCAGCTTGTTTGAGGGCAGTGTACACAGCAAACATTTATTAAGCTTTCAGCAAGCTTTTGCAACGCATTTTTACACTTTGAGAAAGCTTCAGTTAGCTTTACTGAATGCTTTTTTAGCCCCCTATAGCATATCTCCCAACTTTCTGAAATGAAAAAGAGGGACACCTTCCAGAACAATGTATTTAGACAATGGACACACCCCTATCACGCCCCCAGTTATATGGACCATTAAAAATGTATCATTTATATGACAAAAATGATTGGTTAAACCCACAATTTTGTTTTACTTCTTCTTTATACTGGCTTTTCAAAATAACACACAAGATCATTAAGATATAAGATACAGATTTTAGTGCAGAATAAACTTTGGTAGTTAACTAGAACCTTTTCATAGATATCTGTACATCAGACCAAAAAGAGGGACAACTGAGGGCAGAGGGATTTGGTTCCAAATGAGGGACAGTCCCTCCAAATGAAGGACAGTTGGAAGGCATGTTATAGCTTCAGTTTGGGAGTCACATATCCTAATGGGAATGCTGACTGTCACTTTCAACAAGCTACTAGCAGGCTTTTAACAAACTTCACATAGTGCTGAAGCTTACTGAAGCCTGCTAGTAGCTCCCATTAAGATCTGTGTTTAACATTTCCAAACTGGAGCTGAATGGTACTTTAAGCTTCAACAAAGCTAGCTGTACAAAGCACTCATATACAAGCTGAAGTTCATGTGAACAAAGCTTGGTGTTCCACTCCGTACTTGCAATAATTTAGAGCATGTCATGCTGATGTGCTGTGTCTCCCATAGAAGAGCTGTGCAGGGCCACTTCACCATGTATTCTCTGCAATTAATCATGTAACAGATGAGATGACCAAAAGCAAAGGAAGCATCTCTGATCTTTGCGCAGCTCTGCAGTGAGGGGCTCAACACCATCTACCCCATTCACTCTGCATTAGTGTGAGAATAAAATATGGTAGTAAAGTGATTGAGGCCCTGATCCATGAAACATGTATATGATGATAGATGATGGACAAATAATGAGGGAGGTATGACGAAGACCAATGACAAGGGACAAATCACAACTGATGGGCTGAAAGACAAGTTACAAGGTAATACTGTGCTCATCTGTCATTTGATAACAGGATTATAATTCAATAAATGCAGTTGGGTGATGGTATATCATTTTGATGGATCTGTCTTACTCTAATGATGTCCCAAAACTGGAGACAGTAGAAAAAAATGCTGCAATGCATTGTGAGCACAGAGTATACAGGTAAATTGCTGCATCTCTTTGTTATATTTTATAATCTGTTTTCTCCACCTTCAAAAACTGATATACCATCTAATGTTTTAGACTGGTTAGACCTTTTGTCAATTTTAATTGTTGTCTGTGTACCCATAGGGGAGATTCACCCTATATTTGTCATTTTCATCATTGTCATTGAGACAAAAAGGGGAAATCCTTAATTGTAAAAATGTCAAGAGGTAAGTGGAAACCTTCAAATAGGGACACCTGTTTTCTTGACAACAGTCCAATAGGATAATTTCTCTCACTTTGGAGAGGTTTTTCCTCACCTTCTTTTTCCTCTATGGGACAGGAAATAAAGCAAGTTCTCACTATTGGGACAAAGACAGCAAAAAATAAACTGGCAGAAATGTAACCCTCTTAACATCCTGTGTAAACGCAGTTATGCGTGTTATGGGATAGTTTTGTACTGACATAATGAAGTTAAATTAATTGGGCTAATTAAAACTACAAATGGAAAGGATGGGGATTTTGCCATTTTATGGGACAGGTTGCAATAAAGACAAAGCATCTAAATTGTTACCATTTGCAATAGCCTCTTTTAACTTTTCTAGTTTTATTAAAAATCATCCCCTGTGTTTTTTATGTTATCATAATTACCACAAACATCATTAATGGATGTTGGAGAGAACATTGCACAAAAATATATTGTATGCATACTTGTACAAGTCTCCTAAAGGAACTTTTAATGTGACTATAGAAGAGAATTACATACTTGAAGTATCTTACTTAAGTAGTCAAATTGCACCTGATAGAAAACAGTACAGTATCCATATAAGACCCCTCTGGATATATTTTTGAAAACACCTTTACAACAAAAACATTTGCTCTTACATTTCATTTGGTACTGTATATGAATACATCAAAAATTAAGAATACAAAAACAGTTTTGGACACATTACTGGTAGTACAAGGATGGAAATAAAAAAGTGCATAATAAAAGCCTTTCTTGAAACTCGGTAACCTTTTCCTGGTGACTCCGAAGAACTTAAGGCAGAGTTCCAGTGAGTAGACCATAATGTTGACCATTCCCAGTGAGGTATCTGAACAAAGCCTGATGATATAGGCATTGCAACATCACACAAGGATCTGTTTCTTTTATGGATACCATAATGGCTGTCAGATAAAGGCACTCATGTGTACAGCTTTAGGCATCATACTTTTTGGCAGTATAAATATGGGTCTTTAATACATTATGGTTGAGCCTTTTGTGGGTTCCTGAAAATTAAAATCAAAACAGGATAACAGTTAGAGTTAGAAAAAAAAAGTGCCGTTTTTACTTTTTTGGGTGGATATTGCATGATGGTCATGACTGACTCTTTCTGGTCTCCATTTTATAGCACCTTCTGTTTCTTCTACAAGGTACTGCATGTCACTGCAAGCAGCTCCAAGTCATGCAAAAAACTGGCAACTCTTATTTCCCTAAAATAATGAATTTCTTCAGCCACTCGATGGTACTGTGCATAAAGCAAGTCACAAGCAGGGCCAATTTAGACAGGAGCCAATTAACCAACCAGCATGTCTTTGGAGTGTGGGAGGAAACCAGAGAACAAGCACAGGGAAAACATGCAAACTCCTTGCAGATAGTGATCTGGCCGTGATTCGAACCAGGGACCCCCAGTACGGCAATTTTCAATTAAGAGGAAGGGACAAGAACACTAGATGTTTTGCAAGATCGTGGGGGCGTTATCAAAACTGGAACAGACAAAATCTGAAGCAGATTTGCACTGCAACCAATCAGCTTCTCTGTCTCATTTTCAAACCTGACCTGAGCAAACTGGAGAGAGATGCTGATAGGTTACCATGGGCAACTGCTCCAGGTTCTGTCTGCTCAAGTTTTCATAAATTCCCCCCAGGGTAATTTCTGTACTTGCTGAAAATGAAATCTAATGCAGCCCCCACATCTAAGGACTGGTAAGATGCAGTTTATTCAATTTTTTGTTCTTGGGTTTAAATATCCTTTAACTTCTTGCCATGTTATGGTGACAACTTTAAAAGTTTGGACTCAGGAACCTGCACTAATTATATTGTAAAGTACAATTAAAGATATTACATAGTTACATAGCATTTGAGGTTGAATAAAGACATAAGTCCATCAAGTCCAACCTATTGTGTGTGTGTGTATCGGTTGAAGGGTCCTCTCATTCTTAAGAGTACCTGTACCCCTGTACATTACTGTCTCTCAGGAAATCGTCCAAAAGCTTCTTGAATGATTCCTCACTATTTGCAGAAATCACTGCCTGTGGCAGAGAGTTCCAAACCCTAACCGCTCTAACTGAGAAGAACCCATCTTATTAAATACATAATTACAATCAACTGGTGTTTCTGATATCAACCTGATATTCAGCTCAAATTTCACTGAACGTTACAGACAGCTAACCCAATAAGGATATTGCTCACCATGACTTCTTTAGCAGCACTCTTCCATTCCTTAGATCTTTGAGTTAAAGATCCCTGTAGCACAAAATTTCTATTGAATGCCTTTATTTTGTTCACTGCTGGATGCTCAGGTTCTTCATCTTTTCACATATGAAAAAAAGGAAAGAAATAGCATTAATGAGTTCAGCTAAACAGTATCCTAAAAAGTAGTCCAATTAAGTGCCCAATTAGCAAGGTAGTGTACAGAAAGTTGCATATAATAACCCTGTGAGCTATTTATGTAGTTTCAACACTGTATCATACATTCAGAATGCAGCTAAATCCCAAAACTCAGAAAATCAACTGCCTCGTAGTTGTTAAAATGAAAAAAGCCTGCCTTACATTGTCCCAACATCCTCTTTCTAATGCTGCCCATTTCCTGTGAGCCCAGGGCCTCTTGGACATCCCCTCCTGGAGGTGGGTCAAGATGCTGGCCTGGGCTCACAGTATACTTGCACGGAATAACGCCCATGGAGGGGGGGGGGACAACTGGAGTTGAAACACCCGGCTACCGGGTGTTCGCATTGGACGGGTCTTTTCTGCCCGTGCGTGCCCGCTAGGGGGCGCGCGCGAGCAGACAAAAAATGCCGTCTAGCGACGGCAACCCGCCAATGCAGCAGTGCCGTCCGTCCGTTTTTCTACTACGGGCGGACGGCAAGAGGTTAAAAGGTAATTCCAATAAAATATAATCCCTTTCCTAGTTTTTGAGGCACTACTATTTAAAAAAAAGTTATTTAGTAATGTCTGTTCTGACAGGAGGCGAAGGGAAATCTGTGCAATAGCTGCATAAATGGCAGTAAAACCCAACTCACAATGTTTTGGCTGGAGTTGGGCTTTAAAGGGTTTGTTAACTTTAAAAAACAAAACAAAAACCTGTTGCCATGCTTTGCTCTTTTCTTAGTATGCATAGCATCTTCTCTTGTTCATAATCAAGGAGCCTGGTTACCATCAGGGCAACCTAGGTGCCCAGGGCCTACGAGGTACAAAAAGAACCTGTCTATGCAAATCTCCTTTTGGATATAATGGGAGTTCTGTATCATCACATGCCTGCCTGCGTGAAATTGTAGCTTGGTGGAGTTATAGAGTTTCGGCCCTGCAGTTCAGAGAACCTAATGTGTATTTATAACACACAGCCTATTAGGAAGCCCAGAACTCTATCCAGACTTCTAACTAGCTGCATGTTGTGAGTACACATTTACCCCTCAAAACTATTTTAAAGTACATCTAATGGCTTCAGTGTGGCTGTCTAAACAGGTCCCAAATCCAGTGAAGCAATCATAAAAGAAAAAAGAAGCCTCATAAACTAAAGAAACGTTTTGTATTTCCTTTGAGTCAGCCAAATCCTCCTTCATCTGAGTCTCACATGCACCCTCTCCCAGACACTGCAGCTCACAGTGGTAGGGCACCAGAAGCACAGTGAGTGCTGCCAATCCAGAAAGCAGTGGGCAGGACTAGGTGTGGCCAGGTGCTGATTGACAAGCTGTAGGGTTGTGAATCCGCAGTAACAATTCTGATGGTCATGCCCCATGCAAGATCTTCTCATCCCACTGTGGTGCAATCAAATGCAGTCCACATAACAGTGGCAACTCTGCTCTAAATTCAGTAGCAATACAGAATTTGGACTTCACTAACAGGATCAAAAGGTATTTGTGAGACTTTTCAGGGGGCCTAAGGGAAGATTAGTGTGCTTTGTGACCTGGAAGAGAAGATTCTATAAGATAACTTTATGTTGAAAACCTACAGGGGGACATGCCATTACAAACATTTTCTATGCTGGGGCTTTCTAGACACTATTGAACTCATACAGGTCTTTTGTTCTGCAAAATTCCAACATAATAAAATCGCTTTGTTCTCAAGAATGCACTGGCAATGTTCCATTACTATATTTGATTTAATTGTAAATGGTATAGGGCTTTCAATAAGGTTCAACCAAATGCCATTATTGTCATGTTGTACATTGCATTACCATGTAGAGGTGTTGCTGGTAGTTTTCGCCGTTGCTGCCTGGAAGTGTCTATTGTTTGAATCTGTCAGAACAAATATGGAAAAATAATAAGACATAAAGGAGACTAAACATTCTTGCACTGCTCACAACAGAAGATTATACATATTTAGGAAACTATCATAACATTTTAAACAACAGTCTTTACCATTTAAAAGGGCAACGGGTAGAAACGTTGAAAGGGGGAAAGTGTTTTGCACAAGAACAACCCTGCACTCCTGATCTATCTCCTGAGGCACCAGGGGCATTGAATATCGTGCTGTCCATGGTGTACACTGCCAGATTTCCGAATGAACATTTGTACGAAAGACTAGACGAATGTTGTTTGAAATTTCGTTTGATTTAACAGATTTTGGAAATTAATGGAGTTTCCTGAACTAAAACTACACTCGCTGTTAGAATTTTTCTTGATCGAGAATTTCTTTTAACATACTCCTTTAATTTTTCGATTTTGTTCATTCAAAATTCGTTCAGTGTATACCCTACTTTAGCATACAATAAGACTCTAGTACTTTGAGAAATGGCACCCTTTAAAATAATTCTGGGAATTATTTAAAGCATTCCCTAACACCATTCGTCTTTTGAACTGGTATCAGTATAGACAGGGTTCTGCACACTTGTGACTCTCCTGCCATATTGATACCAGACTGTAGCAATTAGTTGATATCAAAACTAAGAAAAAAATTGCAGGAGCAGATCCTATAAACTGTTGGTATAGCCAATTTTGCTCCCCTCTAACTGCAAGCACAAACATCATGTTTTTCCTCTGTGAGTATTTCCACAAACCCCACCATATGTAAAACGAATACACACAACTATGTTTCATGTGTAAATGAAGAATTCAAAGACACCTAAACATGTAAGAGATAATTTTAATATGTAAGTTACACTAACCAATGGGGGGTCCTTTAATAGGTTTGCTACTCTGAGGACTCAGCTTCCCTCCCTATGTTGCTAATGTCTGTGGGCTCCTGCTCCGTGTGCTCTGGGGTGGGCTATGTAATCAGGAATGCCCTGCAAACTGTTTATAATTATTAATTCCAACAATGCAGTGCACAGAGACTGGAAAGTTGTGGGTTTTTGAAGTGTAGCAAAAAAAGGTTTCAAAGCAGCATATCTAATATGGGATGCCACACAGGCAAGTGTAACATATCCATTGCACTTATCTCACACAGTTCACCTTAAAACAGCCACCTTAAAATATCCTGGATCTTCAGACAGCTAACATGTAATACAGCATAAGGCTTGAGTATTAATGGGTAGGGTTACAGAAGCAGGTGAAAAGCTAGCTATGCATAGTGCACACAACTTTCCTGTTATAGTACAAAAGCATGGATGTACTTAAAAAAAAAAATTAAATAATTTTATACTTTTTTTTGTTAATTATGTAAAATGTATGTTTTATCGTTGCTTGTCTTAAATGGTATAATAGCAGTGTTTGTGTTAAAATAATTGCACATTTTTACTTCTAGTGTTTGAAATGTGTACTTATTATCTGTAAACCCTGCATGTGCCAATCATCACTAGTCTATCCCCAAGAGGAGCACAGCTCCAGGTTTGTTCACACTCTGTCACTTTTATTACCTACCAGGACAAGCAAAGTTTTAGAGGTTTATCTATGGTTCTGGTTTCAACTTGCACAAAGCAAGATTATTGTATTACTATAGGTACCTGTCATGTTACAGGTATAGTGAAAGAAGTATGTCAATGGAAAACTCTTTAGACACTTAAAGGAAGAACATTTATACCTGATTAGTATTCTGCTCACGTCTTCTTGTCAGCCTCACGCATGGAGAAACATTTAATCCAGCTACGGTGAGAGCTGATATTCTACTTTCTATATCTGTAATCTAAACAAATATTACAGATTTATATATAGTATAAGAACTGCAAGACCCATTTAAAATACCATAGCTGTATTAGCGTCTATTCACATCTGTGAGTGGCGTTAATGTGGGTTACTGCAATGCATGTACCCAAGCATGGTGCATTGCAGTGCTATTTATTTTGAATGCCACTACACACAAGCGTTTTAAAACTTCACAACACACAAATATGAATCGTCTCCGCATCGTGCTGCCCTGCATTTGGAAAAATGATGCTGGTCCAGTAAAGCCTGTATTGCTGTGCACTGACAGCTCATTCAAAATGACAGTCTGAATAGGCCCTAAAAGTTTAAAGATAGACTGTAGTATTGTTATCAGTACATTGTTATCTCCCAAAACACTTCACTTAGCCTGAAAAGCAAGCCCTTTATGTCCTACCTTACCCTGAAAACTTAATGCCTACACTTAGGGGGTTATTCACGAAGGAGCCGAAGGATCCAGCCGTAGCTTCATCTGATCCTTCGGCTCTCTTCGGCCAATGGAACCGAAGGGCTGCTGCATGGGCCAAAGACGGGCGAGCGGCTCAGCCAAGCTTAACACATATGCTTCGGCTCGACTGAGCCGAAGTGACACCCGAAGTGGGGCGAACAGCCTGCCGAAGGCTGGCCGTAAGTCCCGCAGATGACAGCTGGGCGGAGCCAGCCGTGATCTCACGGCTGGGTCCACCCAGTTGTAATGACAGATGAGCCTCCCCAAATGACCTGGGGATGCCGATCTGTCATTAAACAATAAAAACTGTCCGGAAGCCGGCCGTGATGTCACGACTGGCTCCACCCAGTTGTTATTCATTGGCTGGGACCTGCTAGAAGACTCTGCCAGCCAATAGGAAACAGTTGGGCAGAGCTAGCTGTCACTTTTGCCCGTTTTTTTTCATTTTGTTAAATCTTTATTTATTTTGTAATTTTACTATTTATTTACATTTTAAAAATATTTTTTCAACCTTTTTTTAAAACTCTTTTCACTGATTTTCTATTCTGCTCGGTACCACGGAAGTACCAAGCAGAATAGCGGCGCGACATTCGGCTATTCACTCACTGCTGTTCGGCCCCTATGAACGGCGAACGGCAGCGAGTGAGCTGCCGATTTTTTTCGGCTCCGCCGATCCAGATTTTGGATCCGCTGAGTCGAAGTCCTTCTGCACTTCGGAGAGCCGAACATGCAGAGCAGAGCATGAGCATGTTCGGCTGACCGAAGTGCAGCCAATGTACGTCTGAAATTAGCCGTGCAAGCCAGAAATGAATAGCCGAACAGCGTTCAGCTCACTTAATTTCGGCTCGGTTATTCACTCGGCTGCCTTCGGCAACTTTGTGAATAACCCCCTTAATCTTTATCTGGACTCTGAGACTTAACAGGACACTAAACTCAAAAGATAAATCTTATAAATGCATTCAAGTACTTTAAATATTAACAAAAATGTAGCTTATTTGTGCATCACATTAAGATTGTAGTCCATCCCTGGAGCAAGCTTGGAGCAGTGGCTACTTTACAATACATGCAGGGATGGGGGAAAAAGTAGCCACCCTCCAGAAGGAAGGACAGTGTCAGCACCAATTCAGAGATGATTTGAGGATCTACAGCTGAGTGATACACAAATAAGATACATTGTTGTTAATAGTTAAGATACTTGAATACAATTTTAAGATTTAATTCCTGAGTTTAATGTCACTTCAAGCCTAACACTTAACCTACCCTCTGTGACAATTTGGGCAATTCTTTTTTTTGTCAAAATTGCAAATCATTCAAAAAAATAAATAAAATGGTGGTTTTGATCAATTGCAGAAAGATGAAATTATCCTGAGTGCAAAGTGAAAAATGTGATCTGAGTCTAGATTAGATTTTTTAATGTTTTGAATCCATTTCAATCTAATTACAACTAAAATTGAATGCATCAAAAGATGCATCTGAAAGATACCATATTTTTCGCTCCATAAGACGCACTTTGTCCCCCCAAAAGGAGGGGAAAATGTGCCTGCGTCCTATGGAGCGGATCCCGACCCCCGCGACATGCAGTTTCGGGCGCCGGGCGAGTAGTTTTTACAGTAGGAGCCACTGCTCATTTAATACAAGTGATCTGATTATATCACTTGCATTAAAGCCGAGCAGCGGCGACGGCGATCGAGATCACCATAGAGCAGACGAAGAACGGACGTTCTTCGTCTGCTCTGTGTGATCACTGAGACAGTGGCGCTGTATTCACAGCGCCACCTGTCTCAGCGGTCACTGAGAAGCTGTGACAGAAGCTACGGTCTGTCGAGTGCTCCATAAGGCGCACCGGACATCCCTGCGTCCTACGATCCCGTGCGTCTTATTAAACGCAAAATACGGTAAATGTCTAGTTTTGACTTCACATTTGACCAAAGTCGTGGGTGGTAGACTGCAGAGTTTCTTCTGATTACTTTCAATCGTAACTTCTGGTACTTAAAGTGGAACTTTACCCCCTTTGACTAAAAATCACATCAGCATACAGCTCTGCATTCTGATATCAAATAATCTAACATTTATTAGCTAAACAAACATATTTTTTTAAATTATAATTTCTTTTTCCCCCCACTTCCTGGTCCACAAATGATGCAATTGTGCCCACACGTTGTATCCTGAGATGGTTATATCAGCAGTGCATTGCTGGGAAATTTCATCATCATGAGATCTCAGGGAAAGGCATTTCCTCCCCTGAGATGCTGTGCATGGTCACATGTCCCAGTCACATATGCCAGAGTTCCAGGAAGTAAAGGGAGATATGTCCCGCTACCTAACTAAATAAAACTCCTGTAGAAGTGTTTTCCCCCTGTAGGGGGAAAAAAGATACTTACCTTTCTTTTAACCTTCGTGCAGGAGGTGACATCATCCTCTGACAAGATCCCATGGAATGCTAAGTGCTCTAAATCTTACAAAAGGATGCTGTAGCACAGTGCAGTGAGATTTCGAGTAGTCCCCAGATCTTGCCAGAAGGACAATGATATCACCCTCATTTAGGTGCTGTGGGTGGACGCTGGGGGAAAGGTGAGTACATAATTCAAATTTGTTTACTTACAGGTGTCTTTTGACACTTTGATGAGGGGTTGAACAAAGGGGAGGTGGCAAACTTAAACAGAGTACTATGCTTCTCAGCTCCATCTAGCAGTGAGAATGTTGTGCGAGCAGCATTCAGCCAACATATGACTGGGTGGATGATTTATAAATCATACCCTTAAAGTGAACTTCCTAACTTTTGACCCCAGCAGAAACCTTGCCCCCAAACAAATCACTAAACCTGCCTTCAACCCTTCTGTAGTATTCTTACCTTTTGCTACAAAGGAGCTGTCAGCACCAAAAGGTAACAGTCCAGTGCCAAAATGAAACAATGGTAATATCCCACCACTACTGATATTCATCATTTTCACAATACAATAAAACTGCAAGGTGGAATACATTTAAAAAAACAAGGTGGAATACATTTCTACAAGAATTGCCACTCATTAGCATTTCGATCCAATTAAAATGTCCTATTTCCAAAACCAAACACATATTTGTTTTTTTTTAATTAATTTGTTTAATTACAGCTGTTCCCAATATCTGTTAAGTAACAGAATACAGAACTTTTTATGGGAATTAGTCTCTTCAGACCTGTCAAGGGCAAGTGTAATATAGCTGTGCATGTACCATTACTCCTAAGCCTGACATATCATGGCACCTAATATGAATATCTTGGATTCTAGAGTACTGAAATACTCCTTATAGCATGTATTTTCGGCCTCAGTTGCTTGGGGGCCAAGTTGCAGGAAATTTGAGATGTTGAACTTAATAAACAGCAAACATTTTTCAACCTTATTTACTATAACTTCAAAGTATTATTTGCCATAGTACTGGTACGTTTCTATGAATGCTCTCCATATCCCAAATAATGGGTAATAAATATGTATTTATTAATTATATAAATCAGAGTTTATTGCAACTTATTATCCCACAGTAGTGTCCCTAGGTCATTTTTTTCCCTCCAAAATAGTTTTGTTTCTGAAGGCCGGACTATAAGCTGCATCTAGTTGTATGAACTTTGTCTAAGTAATTGTAAATATCTTGTTTAGCACAAGATATAACTTCTTGTCATATCCAAAATAAATTACCTGACGCTCAGCGTGATGAACTTGGGCAGCTGCAGTTGCCACTTGATCTTCCAAATCAGCAAGTTCAATTTCTGTAGTCACGCTGTTGATTTTGCGTGCCGAGTCCTCGATCTCATCCAGTTGTCCTTCCAACCCATACACAGTGCCAGCTGTGAGATACACCTGCAATCATTAACACAAATAAATTCTGCTATTTTGGTTAACTTATAATTTTGTGTTTGCGAACCTGGTGACTAACCCATGGTTGGTTTACATTTAAGTGCATGAGTAACTTATAGTACTTATTCAACTGTAATAAAGATAGTAACGTTTACACTTGATTGAAAGCTCTTCCCTTGACTAAAATTAATTCATCCCATTTCTTTACAAAATGTATTTATTACACTGGCAATTTACACAGTGCTTTTACATTCATATCAGTCCCTACCCTCAAGGAACTTGCCCTTGCCCTATCTTGTATGCATACATACCAGGACAATTTGGAGAAGAGCCAGTTAACCTTCCAGCATGTCTCTGGAGTGGGGGACGAAACCAGAGGAAACCCACACAAGCACAGGGAGGACATGCAAACTCTTTGCAGATAGTGTCCTGGTCCGGTATTTGAACCAGAGACTCTGAGCACTGCAAGGCAGAAGTGCTAACCACTACACCACTGTACTGTATATGTTTTGCTTTTGTAAACCCCAGAGTTTGCCATAACCATAGATATTTTTTTCCCCAAGAGAAATAGTGTTTCACTTATGTATCAGGAAGGAACTTCAGAAAGCACATTCAAGATATCATAAGATACTATTTATCTGGAAATATTATTATGAAGGTTTTATATTTGAATATATTTAACATTGCTTTAAATTGAATGTGTTGTCTAGAGAATTAATGAAAATGTTGATTGCCATGAGAATATCCATTACAGGAAAAGCCACCACATCCAAATATGATAGGATCTGGTAATCCTCCATGTACCTCTTTAATTAAATATCATCTAAATCCAAGACCAAACTCATCATCTCCATAACAGAGAGGGAGTTGCTCTGAAGTCTACAAAAAAAGCTGGGAAAAATGCTAACTAATAAAAGTACAATGAGTGCACGGGACGTTATTAGAGCGCTAGATTTCTGGCAGGATCAAAAGGTATTATGGAGAAAGCACTTATAGTACAGATAGAACAAACCCTTTGAATCATATATTTAACTGACCAAAAGAGAGAAAATAAGAGAGGTTCATTGTTAGGGTCTAGATACACTACAGGACCCTCAACAAAAGCTGGCTCACAAGATACAAGCTGTGCTTTTCACGTGATACTGTTTATACAACACTTTTTTATCACTTTTCCAGAGCAGTCAGTTCTGCATTGATGTAGATGAAGCCAGTGGTCTACAGGTAGGTAGACATTTTTGCAAAGTGCATGTTAGTCTGAATTATACATACTTAATTCTGCATAATTCTTTTTCATACACATCCCCTATTAAACTTAGTCTATTAATATAGATCTCTCTAAAGGTAAAATTCTTCTTTTATGAATAATCAAGGATCAGCCCTGTAATTAAAAAAAAAATAAAAAAATGATATATACTGTATATACAGTTCGGGGTGTATGAAGACTGTCTACTGTGAGTTACAAACTTTGCAAAATGACGTGTGTTTATTATTGTATACCAATGTATGGTGGTCTTCCTTCTGACCACCAATGTAAGGAGTTTTCCTCCCACTGGACACCAGTGTATGTGGCATTCATTCCATTGGCCACCAATGTAAGAGGCATTATTCACACTGGCCACCAATGCAAGGGCCATTGTTTTAAGCAATTACCAATGTTAGGGGCAATCTTCTTAATGGCCACCAATGTAAGGGACACTTTTCACACTGGACCCCTAAACGTGGCCCTGGAGAGACCTGCACGCAGCCCTGGTGAGAAACTGCCCTAAAATCATTAGTCTGTATTGCTTTAGAAAAAAATTCACATGTCCCTTGAAGAAAAATTAACGGTAATTGGTATTGGCAAGCACCTAAGGGAAAGTACTTGTAATTGTACTTGGTCTTGAAAAAGTGGTATCGGGACATCTCTAGTTATGGAGAAACTGAAAATCATGTCAGAAGGAACCTAATTTGACCAGTGTTAGCTTTAAAAAAACATTTTTTGCTGTAGATAAAAAAAACATTTTTTATAGAATTTGTACAATTAAAAATATGTTTCTATTACAAAGCATAGCAAAGTTATTAACAAATTAAAAGAAGACTTTTTTTCATTTCAGAGTATCTTTTTTTTAAATGTGTCACTAAAAAATAAGGAACCAAAGAAACAATTGTAAAAAAGTTAAAAATCTACTTGGTAATAAAAATAGAACTAAAAAGATAGCAGCAAAAATAATAAAGTAAATATGGATAAAGGGGAAGGAGTTAATTAGGGCTGGTTAGGGTTAAAAAAAAGGTCAATAAGGGGTTAAATAGGATTCTCACATATAACACAATTCACTGCTGGGTTGATGTGCCAAATAGGGTTTGAATTCCCTCTCTGGACTGCAACTTCCCCATTACATCACTGCCTCCGTTTTGTTTCTCCCTCCACCTTCTGCAGTGCTAGTACATGGGTGCAGGTTGGTAGAAACAGTCTGTTGTCACTCTCCCTGTAATCCAGCAAGCTCAGTGAGAGGGGGGCATAAGTGAACTA